GCACATTTCCTTTCTGCATTCTTTCTCAAATGAAACATTCAAGAACACCACAGCAATTAATTAAATAAGCTTCAGGCTGAACCAGAACAGAAGTCATACAAAATAAAACAGACATCACCTTTAACCCACTCTCACTCACACACACCACGAACATTACATTAATGTTTATGAAGTCTTTGAAGTTGCCATTTGTTGTGTTAATACTGATACTGGCTCTATGCGTTGGGATGAAACACCCTGATGTGTATCGCGGAGTTATTACGGGTGCGTGTCAGCGGCTCCCCCGCCTCATCCAGGTCATCGGGCTCCAGATCATCTATGAGCTCTACAGTGGATGTGTTGGCCGCCAGCTGCAGCGCACCCTGGCTGGACGTCTGGAGCTGCAGGGCGATGTTAATGGCCCGGTTGATGGCCAGCCCCAGACCGTGGATGCAGATTTCCCTATGAGCGTCCAGAAGTTTCTGACACCTCGCCAGCTGGGCCTTTAAGTCTGTTTTCATGTTGACGTAGACGTCGTTCCGTCGTTTGGGCAGTTTGCGCGGCAGACGCTTGCGGAGGGTATACTCCAGCGGGTCCATCTCAAGCGTTGAGCCCTCTGGGGTGGGCAGCACCATCAGCTTGTGGGGTACAGAAGCGGACACCGGGCTGCGTGGCTCGGCCATGTCAAAACACGGGAAAAGCACTGTACCAAAAGAACAAGACATCCGTTAATCAACGTTTAATGATGATCTGTTTTTTTTTCAGCGAGTGAAAATGACACACAGCAGACCTGTGAACACTCACAAATGTTCTAAATTGGCACTAAGGTTAGCAGCTGAATATATAAACATATTCTTTTTTTTTTTTTTATTGCAATTGAAAGAATATCGGGCTCCAGATCATCTATGAGCTCTACGGTGGATGTGTTGGCCGCCAGCTGCAACGCACCCTGGCTGGACGTCTGAAGCTGCAGGGCGATGTTAATGGCCCGGTTGATGGCCAGTCCCAGACCGTGGATGCAGATTTCCCTATGAGCGTCCAGAAGTTTCTGACACCTCGCCAGCTGGGCCTTTAAGTCTGTTTTCATGTTGACGTAGACGTCGTTCCGTCGTTTGGGCAGTTTGCGCGGCAGACGCTTGCGGAGGGTATACTCCAGCGGGTCCATCTCAAGCGTTGAGCCCTCTGGGGTGGGCAGCACCATCAGCTTGTGGGGTACAGAAGCGGACACCGGGCTGCGTGGCTCGGCCATGTCAAAACACGGGAAAAGCACTGTACCAAAAGAACAAGACATCCGTTAATCAACGTTTAATGATGATCTGTTTTTTTTTCAGCGAGTGAAAATGACACACAGCAGACCTGTGAACACTCACAAATGTTCTAAATTGGCACTAAGGTTAGCAGCTGAATATATAAACATATTCTTTTTTTTTTTTTTATTGCAATTGAAAGAATAACAACAGTTATGAAGTAACATGGGGCTAACGGACATCACATGAAGTTATACAAGCTACACAAATTAACAAGATATACCAATGATAAAGAAGAAGAAAAAAAAAGAAAGTCTTTTAAAGATAGCTTACAATAGACTGAAGAATGTTAAAAGTTTTAGAAGCCTTTGAGTTCAAAGGATTTGACATATTCTTAGAAGTAAAAAGGGACTTTATATCAGATGAAAACATTCTAAAGTTAGGTTTGCAATGAATGGTTCTGGCTTTATGAAGGTGAAATTTACCCAGAAGACAAAGCAATAAAACAATATGTTCCAGATTAATGTCCTTGGAATGAAAATCTGACAAAAAAACAAAAAGATAGATTCTGTTATTTCTATCATTTTGTTACAGCAGGAAAAAATTAACATGGTAACTTCTGACCAAAAAGACTTGGTGAATGGGCAATAAAACATATGTAGAATAGATTCTTCATCAGTATTACAAAATGAACACATTGAGGATATATTCTCAGAAAATCTGCTCAAAAATAAATTACAAGGGTAGTATCTATGAGCAATTTTGAAATGGAGTTCTTTAATTTTACTTGGGATAAATAGCCTGTGAGGAAAGGTCCATAAGTTTTTTAATTCAGAGTTCGGATAACAAATCCTCCATTTAGATTGTGCTTTAGAGGGGCATCCTGGAGTTGAAGAAAGAGCATTTCTAATAAAAAAGTTATTGCATTTTTTTATCTAATACATAAACACCATTAAATGCAAGTGTAGGAAAATGGTTGTTTACACAGCCATAACATAAATGCGCTTTAAACAAAGTTTTTAAACTGACAGGGATACTTTTAGTCACCTTATTAAAACCTCTTAGTGAGATTGATGCACCTTTCAAAAACACAAAATCAGAAAAGGAAAGAAGATCCCCGTCATATTCATTATTTGTTTACATATCAGTTAGTACAAAATAGCTAAATTAACGGCGACTGATTCATTAGCCTTAAAAGAACCGACTCATATGAGTCAATCGGTTCCGTAATCGGACTAACGTTACACCGTATGTTATTGATTCATTAAAAAGAACCGACTCATAATAGTCAATCGGTTCCGGAATCGGACTAACGTTACACCGTATGTTATTAATTCATTAAAAAGAACCGACTCATACGAGTCATCGTTCATGAATCGTTTTGTACACCGGTCGATCGCGCTGTTTGTTTCGCTGTACATCGTTGCGGCGCTGCTAAACAGAAATAAATGAAACACTACTACTGTTTTCCGTTCCGTAAACATTCGGTTCTGGCATTTCTTTTAACGGAACCTCAGTTCCCTAGAAATAACTAAGTCATTATCGATATGCTACGTTCATTTATATAATATTTTTGTTTTTGAGCGTGAGTAGTACCTTGAATTAGATGAGCTTGTTTTTTCGGCCGCACTCTAGCTGGTAAATAAATGAATCTGCGTATTTGCAGCTTTCTCTCCTCACGTACCGGAAGACCTCTCACTTCCACAGGAACTGATACCTAAGCCGCTCTGTTTGATTACATAATACACGCTGCTCTATTCTTGGATGAAACGTATATATATTTTTAATTTCGTATATTATATAATTATAAATTAATCACAATAAAATAAACTGTGTCTCAGTGCCAATTTGAAAGTGAGCATTGCTAAAATTGCGATTATTGCGTCGTCAGGGTCTTTTATTTTGAAATTCAGTTTAGGGTTTTTTATTTTGAAATTCAGTTTAGCGGCGTTGTTACTCCGCGCTGGATTACTATAAGTGAACTGAACTTTATGAAATATCTGTTTAATTTCTCTGTTTTTAAATTTACTGTTTATCTAGTTTCATTTAAGCCATGTCAGACACATGGAGTCACATCCAGGCGCACAAAAAGCAGCTGGATTCCCTGCGAGAGAGGCTGCAGAGGAGAAGAAAAGACACAACTCAACTGGGCATCGGTGTGTTGATAAACTACATGCTGTGAGATCTGCAAAACTATTAACTGTACCATAAATAGCATTTGATTTATTTGTTAAAAAAAATACTACCTGGATATGTAATGAGAGTCACCATTACACACCATGTTGTTCATACATTCAGCTTTATTAGCTTGATATCAGATGCTGAATATAGAGACCACACAGGATTCTGTCAGAAGTGTGGCATCATGATGCTGAAACTGTAACTTTAAATGCATGCCAAAGAAAAGATGAATCAGGTTTCAATCAGGTTCAGAAGTGATATTAGTGTGTCTATGGTGCCACCTACTGCACGTGCATTTTTCCAACAATTAGTTCTGGCTTTTAACAGAGATTGGAGGTGTTGAGGGTGGGTCCGCAAGGAGCGACAGCCCTGGACCGGTGCTTCAGAGTCCTCCGCAAGTGGAAGTTGAGCAGCCTCCAGACCCGGAACTAGAGGAGAAGCTGCTGGGATACCTGTCTGAACTGAGTCTTTCTCTCCCAATTGATTCCCTAGCTATCACCAACCAGCTAAACACAGTAAGACCTGTGTGCATGCTTGTGTATACTACCAGCCAAAAACCTGGACATGTACTCGTTATTACTATCTCCTGCATTAGAGAAAAAATAGTAAAGTTGTTTTGTCTTTCTGTCCTTCTCACTCTCCCTCATTTGCTACTTTGACTCAGTCGGAGTCTGCAGTTTCCCATGCCTGCATTCAAAGTCTCCTCCTCAAATTTTCTGCCCAAGAACTTATTGAAGTTCGGCAGCCATCCATCACTGCCTCCTCGTCCTCTTCCTCCTCCACCCTTGTCACTTCAGTTGACCACACCAAACTATGGGCTATGATTGGCAGCACAGCCCAGCCACAGAAAACTGGCATTAAAAGAAAAGGAGAGGACATCATCCATCAAAAAAGAGCCCCAGGCTCCTCCCCTTTGCTTCAAGCACCATCTTCACCTCCTAAAAAATCCTCTGCTTCACTGGGTCCTGCCTCGAACTCGCAGCTTCCTGGATCCTCTGGGGTCGGAGGGGGCGGGCCTGAGAAAAAAGGCCGGAGCAGCAAGGTGCAAGCATCTCATCTGGACATGGAGATTGAGAGTCTACTGAGCCAGCAGTCCACTAAGGAACAGCAAAGCAAAAAGGTATAATAATTAAGTAGCAAGTCAGTAAAAGCCTTGTGCATTCATGTGTATGTGGAGTCTGATGTATGTTTACTTGTGCCTCAGGTGAGCCAAGAGATCCTAGAGCTGTTAAACACCAGTTCGGCAAAGGAACAGTCGATTGTGGAGAAGTTTCGCTCACGAGGCAGAGCTCAAGTACAGGAGTTCTGTGATCATGGGACGAAAGAAGAGTGTGTGCAGTCGGGGGACACTCCTCAGCCCTGCACCAAGTTGCACTTCAGGTCAGTTCACAGACACTATAATAAAAATTGTAATTAAAATAAATAACCATATAAAATGCCTATAAACTAGAATAATAATAGTCTAAGAATTAACTATATAATTATACATTTAGAATTTGTAATAATAATCATCAATAATATTTGTATTTTATTGTCGATTATGATAATATTATCTGAACATATTATAAACAAATAATTTAGCCATTTTTTTACTTTTCATTTGTTGAATTATGTTATAATTTAACTTTCTTAGGCGAATCATCAACAAACATACAGACGAGAGCCTTGGCGACTGCTCCTTTCTGAATACTTGTTTCCACATGGACACTTGTAAATATGTGCACTATGAGATTGACAGCCCTCCTGAAGCAGAGGGTGACACATTGGGGCCCCAGGCAGGGGCCACTGAGCTTGGACTGCACTCCACTGTGGAAGACAGCAACGTTGGCAAGTTGTTTCCTTCGCAGGTAAAGTATCGTAAGAATTGACCTGTTCCACAGCTTCTATTAAGCTATAATATACAGTAATTGACTTGAAGCCGAAATTCACTGAAACCACTATAATATAGGAATAGACATGTTCTCTTGGGTAAGGTTGCACCAGTTCATAAGTTCCTACTCCTACTGGAATGTAAAGTCTACAATAGAGGCTTATCTACTAGCTAGCATGAAACTAACTCGGTGCTTTATTTGGTGGCACCATTCGTTCTTTAGGAATGTAGCTAATAGGTTGTAAGCTCTGGAAAGTTATGCATAGTCAAATGACGTGTACCCTCAGTGATCTAATAGCAGCTTTCAAATACGTGAGCAGAAGTTCTGTTGCAATGCCGTGAATTTCAGTTTATCTTTGATTTTAACTTATTTTGCCTCATGTAACTAATGCAGAAATGCATTTCCATTGTAATACAATAATACTTACTCATGAATAATGTAATGGGTATTTTTAATTAACAAGAATCAATAAGAAATGGCATATATTATGGTTGTTTTATTTGACATGCACAACATGGACTGATGCCCACATATACAATCTGAGTTTGTTGAGAACCGCTAACAAAGTAACTCACTTTTCCACGACATTCTAATTTATTGAGATGCACCTGTATGATTCACATATGTTTTCCCTCTCAAATTATAAGCAAGTGTAAATGTCAACATTATCCTCTATGTCTAAAGGATTGAAGTCTGCCGGGTTAAACAAGAGCTTACTGATGTAATTACACCTAGTTGGAAGCTTCTGTTAATATTCAGTGTAAATGTAGAGTTACGTTTGAAGTAAGTTTAATGATGCAACGCAAAAGTAGAAGTAGTGTGTAAGTTGTAACTTAGTCTTGTAAGTTTACATCAAAAATAGTTGTAACTTGTGTACAGCTGGTATAACTGGCCCTAGATGTGTTTCTGTCCTGTAATTGCTTTCAGAGCAATCTTCTTTCATTCTCACATTTGCTGTCACTGTTCTTGTATTTGTCTACATATTCAAAAACTAATTTTTATTAAAACTGTGATTGGCATTTTTATTTTGAGACATAACAAATATATGCCCTCTAACCTTATCCCCTTCTCAGTGGATTTGCTGTGACATCCGTTATCTGGATGAGTCCATCCTGGGGAAGTTTGCAGTGGTGATGGCCGACCCGCCGTGGGACATTCACATGGAGCTTCCATATGGAACACTCACAGACGACGAGATGAGGAAACTCAACATTCCTATTCTGCAGGATGACGGTTTCCTGTTCCTCTGGGTGACAGGAAGGTAGGGACTCTGGGGAGCGACTGAACACAAAGCTTCTTAAGACCCTTTTATCGAAGTGTAATAAGATTTTGCATCACTTTTAACACACTGATAAATGTAAACCTAAATACAAAATAAAATAATCTTGTAATAAAATCTGTGATTATATCACAGATGTTTTTGATATTCCAGCGTTACATTTTCCAAAAGCTTTTAACAACTTTGAACTCTGCACAGTTGATTAAATCTGTGTCTGAATACATTTTCCATGATCATATGCATGCCATAAGAAGAGGTATCTAAGAATAAATGATCTGAAAAATTGAAAAGAGGTTATGTAATGCCATCTTGGCAACAGTCCAAATGCAGGTCAACAATAGTTCATTTTCTGTCTTCACAGAGCTATGGAGCTGGGCAGAGAGTGTCTAAGCTTATGGGGGTAGGTGATTTTACATGTGGAAAATGTGATCGCGATCTCTTTAAATATAACTAAATCAGTAAACTAAATGTTTTTGTTTTCTGTCACTCAATTAGCTATGAGCGTGTCGATGAGATTATCTGGGTAAAGACTAACCAGCTTCAGAGAATCATTCGTACTGGAAGGACTGGACATTGGCTGAATCATGGCAAAGAGCATTGCTTGGTATGTGTGAGAATATACAGTACCGGTCAAAAGTTTGGGGTCACTATAGTCTGTTATGGTCACCAAGCCTGCATATATTGAATTGAATTGACCCTTCATGCTAATAGGCTGATTTGGTGCTCAAGAAACATTTATTATTACATTTGAAAACAGCTTAATATTTTGTGAAAATACATTATCCCTTACTTATACTCTCTCTCTCTCTCTCTCTCTCTCTCTCTCTCTCTCTCTCTCTCTTAAAAAAAAAAAAGTTACTGACCCCAGACTTTTGAATGTTAGTGTATAAGCAGAATTTTGTAACCATTTCACAATGAAAGAATATTACATATATTCTCTCTCTCTCTCTCTCTCTCTCTCTGTTTGTTTGTTCAGGTGGGAGTAAAAGGAAACCCACAAGGTTTTAACAGAGGCCTTGATTGTGATGTTATAGTGGCAGAGGTCAGTCATAACCATTATTACTGATAAAGCAGTGATGAATTTAAAGTCAGTGATGATCAGTGCACTAAAAGAACATCTGTCATCTGTCTACACAAAAGGTCCGCTCCACTAGTCATAAACCAGATGAAATTTATGGAATGATTGAGCGTTTGTCACCGGGTACACGAAAGATTGAATTGTTTGGGAGACCACACAATGTGCAGCCTAACTGGTGAGTCAGACGGTCAGGAACTTTTTTGATTTCCAAATCACTTACGTGACTAAGTGCACTTTTAAGTAATCAGATGTGCTGTTCTCTTTATTGCTAACTTGCTTGTTTTCGCTGATCTTTCGCACCCTGTTTTGTTTTCCAGGATAACTCTTGGTAATCAGTTGGACGGTATTCAC